CATTTTTTATGCTTCCCTGTGTTGATAGAGTGGCTTTGTGTGCTAGGTGTCCTATAGGGCCCAGTGGCTCAGCCTCCCTAATTACCTGAGGTGGACACTCTTGGTGCACCTCTTTGTGGGCTGTGTGCACAGTCTTATTGTAGCTAAGCCTTGATTGCTGTTGGTATCACTGGGTGGAATTGACCTCCAGGCCAATTGGCTGTGAGGACCAGTTGTGTCTACAATGGGAGACCTTCTGTGCTGGAAACACCCTTATGGGGCAGGACTTGCTTCAGTGGGGCTTTGGTGCTCACTGAGTCTGCCTAGGTTTTTAGGCAGAGAAAGGCCAGGCCATTCATATGCAAAATCCTCTGCACACAGCTTGGGTGGGATTGTAAATTGGGTGGGGCGGGGTCTCAGGGAATCACCAGGGCGGAGGAAACCGCAATGGCTGCCAGTCTGCTCTGCCTCAGATAGGTCCCGGAGGTCTGTGCCCCGCGGCCCCATGCAGGAACAATGACTGCTGCAAGCATCTCTGGGAGAAAGCCGTCCTCACGTTCCTGCCCGATGCCAGACAGTCCAGTTTCTCTCAGTATAAGTCTGGGTCCCTATATTCTCACCCGGAACTAGAGTACAGAGCAGTCGGGAGCTTGTTTCTCCCTCCCGATTAAAAAAGACAACAGCGTACACAGCTGCTAGCCCCTTTTGCCCGCCTCCTTACCTCCACACTTCCACACCTCTGCACCTCCTACCGGACTCAATGCGCTTTTCTCTTTCCTTCTAGTTGTAGAATTTCCATTCAGCCAGCCTTCCCGTGGTTCTGGATGGTGTTCATTTTGTCTTTTAGTTGTAGTTTTAATGTGGTTGTGCGTGGCACAAATTCAGGTGTTTACCTATGCCGCCATCTTGGTTGTCTCCCCATAATGCCAATTTTTAAAAGTGTTTTAAGAAGATGAATCTCTGCTGTTCCAGGAGTAGTAAGTACTCTTTTAAGTGCTTACCAAAAAAAAAAAAAAAGAGTTACCTGTTAGCTATGAGGTGATGGCTATGTTAATTATCTTGATCTTGATAATCATCCTACATTGATATGTATATCAGTTCATCACGTTGTACACTTCAAATATATCCAATTATATTTGTCAATTACTCCTCAATAAAAAAAATTTTAAAGTGTTTATCTATTTGAAGAAGATTGATATTTTGCTAACAAATTGGGTCTAACCTACTTACTTTGGACTTGATAAAGCATTAGGCCTTGTAACCATTAGGTACTTCACATGGTACTGCTAGTTAAAACCTTTGAAAATATCATTTGTCATTAAGATGAATGTTTTGTTAAAGCTAAAAGTTTTACTTATCCTGTCATATTAAGTATTTTTAGTAAAAATGCATACTAGTGTGGATAACTAGACTACTATTTTACTTCTCTAAGGAAAGCTGACATTGCTCTATTTTTCTTTGGCTCTTTAATAAAGTAGTCAAAATGGATTACTTAGTTAAACAAGAGCATAAGAACATATGAAACTTAATCTATGTTTGCTAGGAAACAATCCTCTGTAAGTTTCTTGCATTTTTGCATGTCTCTGAGCACAGGTATTGACAGCTTTTGTTCTGGACTGTCTTTTTGAGGGTGTTTGTATAGGAAACAATCTTAGAAGACAGGTCGTTTCTTTGTCCAAGGCTGAGGGCAGACTTAGTTGCCATCTGAAGTACTAAAAATAATGTTCTTCCCTTCCTGCACTGGAAGCAATGCGTGGGCAGGTTTGCTAGCAACCAACCCCCTTGTACTAGTAAGATTGGGCTTTGTAAGCTTGAGGTTCCTCAGCTGTGATACAGTACCACCGTGTGCAGCTTCTACCCTCAGCCTATCCACATTGCCCATGTGGGATTTGGGGGGAAGAGGAAACGATGAAGCCCTAGCCGGTTTCGCTTGGTGGATAGAGTGTTGGACTGCGGACTCAAGGGTCCTGGGTTTGATTCGGTCAGAGGCACATGCCCTGCTTGTGGGCTCAGTCCCCAGTGGGGGGCGTGCAGGAGGTAGCCGATCAATGATTCTTATCATTGATGTTTCTATCTCTCTCCCTCTCCCTTCCTCTCTGAAATCAATAAAAATATATATATTAAAAAAAAAAGATGCCCTAACCAGTTTGGCTAAGTGGATAGAGTGTCGGCCTGTGGACTGAAGGGTCCCAGGTTCGATTCCAGTCAAGGGCATGTACCTTGGTTGCGGGCACATCCCCAGTGGGGGTGTGCTGGAGGCAGCTGATCGAGGTTTCTCTCTCATTGATGTAAAAAATCAATAAAATATATTAAAAAAAAAAAAGAGGAACCGATGAAAACATGAAGCTCATGCTGCCTGCTGTTTTCTGAGTAATAAAGTTCTATGTCTCTGACCCAGGAGTTTAGTGTCTTCTGTCAAGATCATGCAACTGTAGAGGTTAACTTGTTAGCTTCCACATGGGGTAAAATGTTAGGCCCTTCACAGTTTAGACATTGTTCTGCTACATTTATTACTTAATTATATTTAATGCCCTTAATAATTTCTGCTGCACATAAAAAAAGTTTTCCCGTTTTCCTTGATTTCAATAATCATATGTTGCAAACTGGTAGTGTCTTTATCATAGAATATTCATACTTCTAGTCTTAAAGAAGACTAGGGTTGTTGTTGGTTTTTAATGGGGCTTACATTTTTCTCTTTTCCATAAGCCAAATATACCTGTCCTTCTCGGCATCTGCATCTTTTTTACTTTCAACCTATGTCATCCAACATCATGTATAGCAAAATCTAGATTAGATCATACAATGTATACATGATTCCTTTCTCCTAGGACCTCCTATCTAAGTTTTGGACAGAGGGAGAATCACAGATTTATTTTTGGTTGACCTTACTCCACGATAATAAAAATATTTTAAGTTTCGCTTTAATGACTACATATATAAAAAATATTCTGCATTGCCTAGATTTCCACCTCCTCTGCCTGCATTTACACTTGTGTTCATGATCACATTGGCCCCAAGTGATCACACAACATTGCAAGATTTAACTTTCAATGCAATATTTTTCAAATTTAGATCATTGGACCCCTGAGTTTTATGTACCAATCCCCCTTATTCCCCAAAATGAGCACAATAAAAGTGAGCACAATAAAAGACCCAAGGGTTGGAGAAGGAAGTCCGGTTGTTATAACATTTGTTGCATGTCATCTTGCTTCCATGTGTTATTTGAAATACTTGTTCTCATTGCTAATTTCACTGTCAAGAGTTGATTATTAAATTGAATTAAAAAAATAAATTGAATTGAATTTCTTACATGTTAGGCGCTAGATATACAAGTTCTAGTTATTTACGAGTAATGACACAATTTTCACTGCAGTGAATTTATTTTTGGTTCATTATACTGGGATTTAATGCATTTGTGGACCTGCCTTTTCATCCATATTCCTTAATATCCACATCCTTAATGTGCCTTGAAGTTTCAAGTTAGATTTAACCCTTTATTATCCTTCATTTGCACCTTGTACTTTTCTTACGCTGTTTTCTCTCTTTGAGATACCCTTCTTCCCTTGTTCATGATCCTCCTTCCTCCACCTGCCTTCAGGTTATGGCTCAGATGTCTCCTCCTTTAAGAAACCTTCCCTCATCTCCTCTGCTATAGTCTTTCTCTCTGCTCAATTTCCTTTCTTCGCATATC